CAATTCAATCTTGGTAAATCACATATGGCCAGGTATTTATCTGTTTCTTCTAGGTCATCAAATTTGTTGGCATATAATTGTTCATAATTGTCTCTTAAGATTCTTTTTATTTCTATGGTATCAATTGTAATGTCTCCTTTTTGTTTCTGATTTTATTTTTTTGGAGTGCTCTCTTTTTTCTTATTTCATCTAGCCAGTTTGTCAATTTTGTTTATCTTTTTAAAATTTCAACTCTTTGTTTCACTGATCTTTGTATTATTTTATAGTCTGTATTTCACTTATTTCTGAACTGATCTCTATTATTTCCTTCCTTCTGTTCTTTCTGACTGAGTTTGTTCTTGTTTTTCTAGTTCCTTGTGGTGAAAAATTAGCTTGCTTATTTTAGATCTTTCTTTTTAATGTAGGAATTTATTGCTATAAACTTCCCCTCTGAGAACTGCTTTTTCTGTATTCCATTGGTTTATGTACATTATGGTTCTATTTTCATTTTTCTTAAGACATTTTTTAATTCCTCTTTTAATTTCTTCATTGTATCATTAGTTGCTTAGAAGCATGTTGTTTACTTTCCATGTATTTGTAAAGTTTCTGAAGTTCCTTCTGTTAGTGTTTTTTAGTTTTATACCATTGTGATTAGAAGAAACTTGACATGATTTCAATCTTCTTAAATTTATTAAGACTTGTTTTGTTGTCTGGCATATGATTATCCTTTAGAATGTTCCATGTATAGTTGAGAAGAATATGTATTCTCTAGCTGTCTGATGGACTGTTTTGTAAATGTCTGTTAGGTCCATTCAGCGTAGAGTGCAGTTTTAATTTGATATTTCTTTGCTAATTTTCTGTCTGAATGAGTATCCACCCTTGGAAGAGGGGTGATGAAGTCCCCTATTATTATTGTAACATGGTCTACTTCTCCTTTAAGATCTAATAACATTTGCTTTAAGTACTTGGGAGCTCCAGTACTAGGTGTGTATACTGTCTATTTACAATTGTTATATCTTCTTGATGAATTAACCCCTTTATCATTATATAATGACCTTCTTTGTCTTTTTGTGTAGTTTTTGACCTAAAGTTTATTCTATCCGATACAAGTATAATGACTACTATTCTCTTTTGTTTTTGATTTGCATGAGTTCTCTTTTTCTCGCCCTTTACTTGCTGTCTAGATGTGTCATTATAGGTAAAGTGAGTTTATTTTTATTTTTATTTTTATTTTTTTAAAGTGAGTTTCTTGTAGGCAGAACATAGCTGGGTCTTGCTTTGTAAAAAATCCATTAAGCCATTGTGTATCTTTTAATCAAATAATTTAATCCACTTATATTCAAGGTTACAATCAATAGGTGTGTATTTATTCTAGCCATTTTGTTAATTTTTTCCAGTTCTTTTGTAGATCCTTTGTTTTCTTCATTCTCTCTCATATACCTCTGTGACTTCGTGGCTTTTTTGTAGCGCTAAGTTTTTTTTTTTCTCCTTCTCATTTGGCTATCTGCTCTAGTATTTTTCTTTGTGGTTACCATGGGGCTTGCATGAAAAAATCTTACATTTGTAATAGATTATTTTAAACTGCCAACAAGTTAACTTTGATCTATTTTAAACTGATGAAAAAACTTTGGGGTAGACTTTTACTATCTACCCACAATTTATCTTTGTTGCCTTAATTTATATCTTTGTATACTGTGTGTTTCCTAACAACTTATTATAGTTAGTTATTGTTGACCTTTTGATTTTTAACTTTTACACTGGAGAACTGAATGATTTAATACTATCATAACAGAGTTGGAGTTTTCTGAAATTGATTATAAATTTACTTCTACTAGTGAGTTTTATACTTACATATGTTTTAATAATGGTAATTATTGTCCTTTCACTTCTGGTTGAAGTACTCTCTTAAGCAGTTCTTTTAAAGTTAGTGTAGTGTAATAAATTCCATAAGTTTTTGCTTGAATGAGTGAGACTTTATTTTATCTTTATTTCTGAAGGATAGGTTTGTTTGTTTTAGTACCTTTACTGACAGTTTGTTTTTCCTTTCAGCATTTTGAATTATATTCAAATATTATCATCTTATTCTCTCCTGGCCAGTAAGGTTTCTGCTGAGAAATTTGCTGATAGTCTGTCTAATTGAGATTCTCTTACATGTGAGTTGATGCTTTTCTTTTGCTGTTTTAGAATTACCTCTCTGTATTTGACTTTTTATAGTGTGATTATATGCTTGGAGAAGATCTTTAGGGGTTAAATAAGTTTAGGGATATTTGAGCTTCATAGATCTGATGTCCATATCTCTCCAAATGTTTGGGATATTTTCAGCCATTATTTCATTAAATAAGCTTTCTGTGCTTTTCTCCATTTCCTTTTCCTTTAGTACTCCCATAATGCAAGTATTTATTTGCTTAATAGTGCCCCATAATTCCTGTAGACTTTCTTTACTTTTTAACATCTCTTTTCCTTTTTCTTTTTTTATCTGAGTTACTTCAAAAGATCTATGTTCAAGTTTAGAAAGTCTTTCTTCCACTGAGTTGGCCTATTGTTGAAGCTCTCAAACGTATTTTTTATTCATTCATTGTATTCAGCTCCAATATTTCTATTTGGATCTTTTTCATGATAACTTTCTATTTATTGAATTTTTTTATTCAGATAATGAATTATTTTTGTGATTTTATTAAATTGTTTTTCTGTATTCTCTTATATATTGCTGAGTTTCCTTAAGATCATTATTTTGAATTCCTTTTTGAGAATCCATAAATTTCCATTTCTTTGGGGTCAGTTATTGGAAAACTTTTATATTTCTTTGGTGGTGTCATGTTTACTTGTTTGATAATGTCTCTTTTATCTTTGCATATAGTGGAATAGTTGCCTCTTCCAACTTTGTACAGTTGCTTTCACAGAGAAAGACTTTCATCTGCAGATGCATTCTAGGCTGTTGGTTGGAAAGAGTACATTGGCTTTTGTCCCAGGTGGGCATAGTACTGTGCGCTCTATGAAATTTCTTCAGCTGTAATCAATGTTAGCAATGCCTGAGAGTGCCTCAGTGGCTTAGGCTGCTGTGAGAGTGATTGTGGCAAGGCAGGTAATTAGGGTTCTCAATGGCAAGGGCTTTAGGGATCCTCCTGTTCTCCTTTTTCTCACAGTAGGAAGACATACCCAGAGGAGATTCAATCTCCTCTGGGTCTGACATGGGCTACAGGCATCCACAAGGGTGCTATATTCCATGGCACAGATGCTCAGAGTGGTTGTGGATCTGAGGTTCTAGAGTCAGTGTCTTACTGAAGTACTGTAGCACCCAGCCTGGATACAGGTTCACTCTTTTAGGGTGTGAATGGACATAGTTTTACTATCAAGCCAAGGACTAAGACTTGGAGACACTCCCCAGTAGTTTAAACTCATAGGGTAGGAACGTAGCTATGACTTTGAACCTGGGTCTCAGGCCACACCACTGGTATGGCTCAAGGGGTTAAGAATGTTCCAGAGGCTCAGATGCTGGGGAGCAGAATACAGCTGCAATTTGAGTTCTTAAGCCGATAAGACACAGTGGCAATGCAGGCACCAGGAGAGAGTGTACCACATAGCTGGTAACTCTGGGTATGGGAGCAGAAATGGCCTAGACTCAATGGGTTCAGGCATAGTGGCAGCAAGGACCTAGGAATTGTAATGGGGCTGTGGCTTAGGCTCTAGGGAGTGGGCAACAGTACAATGTTGGCTTTATGCCCTGGAAATGTGCCATGCCTCAACATCATCAACTCCATAAGGCTGGTCCAGCTCTATAGAGTCAAGGTGCTGAGGCTGTTCGGCCCAGAGGGCAGGGTAATATAGATCAGCCAAGGCTATGTTTCTCAGAGCAGGCAGAAGTATAACACAATCTTTGGCACCAATGTTGTGGCTGTTCTCCTGGACCAAAGCTCTGTTTCCCCAGGGGTAGAGTGCCAGGCTGATTTGCATACCAAGGAGGCAGGCGGTTGGTTTACCAGTTCAGCTGCAGTTTCTCAGGCTGATTCACTTGCTAAGAGGGCACATCGTTGGTTTGCTGGCTCAGGCTTGACTTACCTGTTCTTTGGTGGGCAGAGCATCATATAGACTAGGGTGACAGGGTCACAGCTATTCTACTGAGCAGTCAGAGTTGGGATATTGAAGCCACTGGGGTGGCTCCTGTTGATTTCCTGCTCCTACCTGAAGAACTGATTATTTAAATAATCATTTAACCTAGAAAAGTGAGGTATCTCAAACTAAGAATGAGCTAAAATAGGTAATAATAGTAATGAGACATATTTATTCACTGCTAACTAAATTCCAGGCATTATTCTAAACTCTTCAAGAATATTAACTTATTTAGTCTTCACAAAAATTCTGTGAGGTAGGTAACTGCCATTATTTACATTTTGAAGAAAAGGAAACTAAAGCACAGAAAAGTTAAACACATTTTCTAGGGTCACACAACTTGTAAAAGGAAAAGCCAGGACTCAAATGTATATCGTCTAGATACAAAGCCCGCACTCTCCCAGAAATTTCCTTCTTAGCCATTATGTCATATTATGGTCAAATCCTTGGGAGAGAAGAGAATCTTCAGAGAAATCTGAATTTCTTTTATGGACTTAAAATTCTTCTGTTTTTTAAGTTAGTAAGTAGGAGCAGGAGACCTTGAACCTTCCCTTGCGACTCTGATATAACCATGAGGCAGTGAGACTAGAGCTGGGTTATCTAGACTTTAGAGAGGGGGAAGTGGGAGTGCGAATGAGGGGCTTGAAGAGGGAGCTGTTGAGTGGTTAAGAACAGAGACCATAATCTCCTGATCACTGATGACAGAAGTTACTGGAAGTTATATTATGATTGTTAGGGAAAAAAGTGTTGTTCTGTGGGCAGGTGTCCTGTAGGTGATATGGAATGTGGAAAAGGAAAAAGAGAAAAGAGAGAAAGAAGGAAGACAGGCAGGAAGAAAGGGGAGGAAGACAAGCAGGGAGGGAAGGAAGATAAAAGAAGGAAGGGATGAGGAGAGAAAGAAAAAAGGAGGGTGGATGGTAGAGAAGTGGGGAGGCCATGAGGAACGGGGTAGGGAGGAACATATGGTTGGGAAAGCTCTGGGCAGGGCAAGGATTTACTGCTCTGTACTGATCTCTGCTGCATTCTCTCCTAGCTCCACTCTGTGAACCCACCGGTGAGTTGCACTTCCCTTTCTTTTTCATAGTCTGTGGGTACCTTGTTACTTGGGTCAGCACAGGAGGCCTGTGGATGGCTGTCTGAGCAGTCAGTGTCTGTCTAAGACACATCAGGTGTTAGCTGCTGAAGTGCATAAACACTGGGGCTCTGCCTGGGCTGCCCTGGGCTTAGCCACTTGTACACCTGACACGAGCCTGTCTCCCTCTGACCTTGAGAGCACAGTCTCATTTCTGAGAAGTCTCAGTGTAGGGAGGGAGATGCCATCTGCACAAGGAAGGCAGAGGGCACCAAAGACTTGTGTTAAAAGAATCTCTGTCCTTTAAGCATCAGGGTCTCCAAGTCCCCTGTGCCCTGTGGCTGGGAGTCCCACCAGGGGCTGTGGAGGAAGTGCTGAAATCACACATCTGTGGAGAGCAACATTGCAGCCCGTCCTTGGACCATGTGCAGAGTGAAGTAGCACATTTACCTCCTTCCTATTTTTAGCTCCACACTGCACCCGCAAAGGTCACCTCGGCTTGTTTTCTCTCTCAGACCCTGGTTTATGCAAATACATTTTATTGCTCTGATCCTGATTCAGTCTTACCTTTACAAGAGGAGAGGACGTTTCCCTCCTTTCAGAGGCAATCTTTCACTAAAGCAAAATGAAATCTAATATTTGTGAGAACTAATCTCCTACATAAAAAATACTAACCAGGGATTAAAAGAGATTGTCCTGCTACCTCAGGAATACAAGTGCAACTAGGGAACATGGGCTCTATGGATCCTGGGACCAGAGAGTCAGCCCGGCCTCCTGGCTCCCCCTCTGATGTTTGACTAAGTCAAACTCATTCCTGTGTTATGCCATGCATGTCTTGTGTCTGGTCCCACCTTTACCCCTAAGCTCAGGTGCCCAATCCCAGCCTATGCAGAAATCCAAAGTCACATCAAAGATGAGGAAACAAAGTTTCTGCCACCAGGTTTCTCAACCTGGTTCTGCCACCAGATGTTTTCCAGGGAGCCTTTGCTGTCTGAGAATTACCCCAAATTAACTCTGAGTTGCAAGACTGAGCCCTAGAACCTTACTGTCAGCCCTGTCTGGTTTTCTACTTCACCTCCACCTACCACCATTGAGAGGAGTGGGTTTCAGGAGCCTCTGCTTGGCATCCAAAGCTGTGCTGCTGCTCAGTTTTCTGGGGACTACAGTTTTCCAAGGAAACAAAGTGACTGTAACGTGTGGGCTATTCCATGTCCCAAGACAAAACAAACATTCTGGTACCAGGGATGGAGCTGATGTTTCAAAATTCCCAGGGAGAAGTATTCCAGTAGAAAGGTTTGGCAATCACAGACGCTGGGACTAGGAATCATACCCCCGCGATCCAGAGCACTTGTTCCTTTCAACTAGTGAGGAGAGAAAGGCTTCTTTTAGGAAGATTATTAAAAATTCCCATAGGGCAAAGGATCTGAGGGTTGGATAAACAAATGCCCCCAAAGTCAATCCTGTCAAGGATTGTGACATTTTCCATGGACAGCCACCAGTGAGGAGACGAGGACAGCAATGAGAGAAGAATGCAACTTTAACTCTCTTTACTCATCCAGAAAAAGGTCCCTACCACCCCAAAGGGCTCCCTCCTTGAAGCCTCAGATATGGATTTAATTTGCTCCTCATATCATGGCTTCCACAGAGGTTTCTCTAGGAGTCCCAGATCAAGGGAGCTGGGCTGTGTGGATGGAGGATAAAGGGTATTTCCAGGCAAGTGCACCCCTTTTCATCCTTCAATAAAAATAGAGACAGGACAGAGACAGGATGGCATTCCTCCATGTCTCTCCCCAACGGACTGATCCTGCAGGGCCCATATTGTGTCTTTAAAAGAAGTAGTATGATTCTGAGATGTCAGAGCAAAGGTAACAGAAGGAAATTACCAATATGACTTCCAACAAGGATGAAAGAAATGTATCCACTTTCAGGAAAACTTCAGGCTTCATCACTTTCAATGCCAGCTTGCAACACTGTTCAATATTACTGTACTGACAACGAGAAAGGTGTTTTTAACTCATAGTTAGAAATTTCAAAAAAGAATAAGACATAAGTCGAAGATAAAGGCTACCCTCCAGCTGGAGATGCTGCTGCCTGTGGGTGGGAGATGCCAGGGTGAGCAGGGTGAGTTCATGGCAAAGGACAGCCACTGGGCACTGGTGTGACATGAGGGTGGCTGTTTCTTTGAGTCTGGTTTGCCAGTGCTGTGACACAGAGCACCTCTCACCAGGAACCCTGAACCCCATTGCCCTGTGATGGGGTTCATTCCTCTCTCTAGAGCTGTTTCTGATAGCCAGCCCTCTGCAGCCCACAGAGGAAACCCCGGTGACACTGACCTGTAAGATTCAGTCCCCTCCACAGTCATCAGATGCTCAGCCCCAGTTCCGCTTCTTCAGAGATTCCCAGCCCCTAACGCCTGACTGGAGCAGCTCCTGGGAGTTCCAGATCCCTGCTGTACAGAAGGAAGACTCGGGGTCCTACTGGTGTGAGGCACAGAAAGTGGTATACAAGGTCCTAAGAAGCCCGAGGTTCCAGATGAATGTGAAGAGTGAGTGCCAGTGTCTGCTGGGTGGGCGGGAGAGGGCAGTGGTGAGAGGCTGGTCCTCACATCTATCAGGGTCTACATCTGGAAGAGTGGGGGTCATTTGAGAGCTATGCCCGAGTTTCTTTCTTGTCAGGTCCCTTACGGATCTTCCCTTATTCTTGCTGCTTCTGTTGAGGTAAAGAGTATTTAGGAAATGCTTACTGTGTGTCTGCACTGGGCTGGAGGGTGTGGGGGACACAGCTGCACGACACTCAGTCCCTGGCTACAAGAAGTTGGTGCCCAGCCAGCACTGAACAAGCAGGCGATGTGTGCAGGGCTGTGCCACATCAATAATGTAGAATTGGCTGCTGGAGCTGGACTTGTGGAAGGGAAGTTGGAGCTTGATTTCAAAAGATGGAAAGAAGAGTGTTTTATGATTTGTGAATCACATTGTTCCACATCAGGGTCGACACTCCTGACATCCTCTCCCATGCTCAGATGAAGCAGCATCTGTGTTTCATGAAGCCAATACCTAATGCCTGCAGAAGGCTGGGCCTTCCAGACTGGCTAAAATGTCAGCACTGGTGACACCCGACTGCCATGACGTATACTGAGCACTTCACATGTGGCAGGCCTGGTCTAAGTCTTCACACTTGTCATATAACTGAATGTCACAACCATAGTAGATAACTGTCCTTACCTTCTCCATGTCACAGATGGGACATTGAGTCTCAAAAAAGTTAGGAAATTTGATCAAGCAGGTACAGCAAGTAAGAGAGTTGGAACCAGCATTCTCTCAAGGCAGTGTGAGCTACGAGCTGGGGCTGAGATCACTATACCGTTGTGTCTGGAAAGACGAAAGTTTGAGAGGTCAGGGTAATGGGAGTCACATTGTCCCAGGGACAGAGATGATGCCACACTCTCCATGGTAATATTGCATCTTTCATATCCCGCCACCATCACCCAACCAGTGCTGCCTCTAAATCAAAAGAGCCCCCCACCCCTCGTTAGACTATCTAATCATTAGGTTTACTCACAGGCTTTGCTTTCAGGACTGTCACACCTACTCCCTGCCCCCAGAACTTTCCCTACTCAGGGCCCCCCATGTCATCTTGTGTCCACACAGGAGTCCCCATCTCTGATGTGAGCTTGGAGACCCAGCCCCTGGGGGAACAATTGGCAGAGGGAGACAAGCTGGTCTTCATTTGCTCCGTTGATAAGGGCACAGGAAACATCACCTTCCTCTGGTACAGAGGGACCCTGGGTTTAAACTTGGAAACAAAGACCCAGCATTCACTGACAGCAGAATTTGAGATCCCAGCAGTGAGAAAGAATGACACTGATCAATATTACTGTGCAGCTGACAATGGCTATGGTCCGAAGCTCAGTGGACTGGTGAGCATCACTGTCAGAAGTAAGTGCCACTACCCTCGGCTCAGCCAGGAGCTCTCACATGGGGCTTCCCATTTTGGAGGGCATGCTGAGGAAGTTCATGGGGGCTGAGCCTCGGGGGGGGGGCAGGGATTATGACTCTCTCACGTGGTCAGAGACCTGCTCTGACCATCTACTGTGTATGTCAGTTCCAGTGTATCGCCCCATCCTCACCATCAGGGTGCCCAGGGCCCAGGCCGTGGTGGGGGACGACGTGGAGCTCTTCTGTGAGGCCCCTATAGGCTCTCCCCCAATCCTGTACCAGTTTTATCACGAGGATGTCATTCTGGGGAGCAGCTCAGCCCCCTCTGGAGGAGGAGCATCCTTCAACTTCTCTGGGACTGCAGAACATTCTGGAAACTACTCCTGTGAGGCTGACAATGGTCTGGGGGCCCAGCACAGCAAGGTGGTGACACTGAACTTCATAGGTATAACTGAGGCTTTGAATTTTTCTTGATCAGCTTCTCTCTCCCAGCATCCGAGGAGAGTTTCCTTGTTGCCACATGCTTCTGCTGCCTTGCTACTAAATATGGGGCTTCTGTGGGTGATGCTGCCAGGGGCGATGTATTGGAAGGGCTTGGGGGACATGAACGTGGGCTGCCTTTCTTCTCTTTTCATCAATGTGATTAAGTTGCATGTCCCTAGACAAATAAGTAAGTGCCCTCTTGGAAGAGCAGACCTTGGGCACAACCCACATCCAAAATGCCTGCTCTCCAAACTCCCAGCCCTGCCTCTGAACAGCTCACACACAGTGATCTCTCCCCTAGTGCCTATCCAGGACACAAGGGATCCTCTGACATCAGAAGTCATCGGAGGGCTGCTTGGCATCCTGGGCCTTGTCATGGTCGCCCTATTATTTTGCTTCTGGCACAAGAGAAAAACAGGTTAGTATTTATAGAGACCAATACTTTGTTACCGTGACCTTTGCTTTCACTGATGTGGGCTAGATTTGTGACAGATACACTGTAAAAGATGAATTTCTGCTGTTAGCCATCTTGCCTATGAAGCAGCTCACACCCTCAGCAGTGGCAACAGGACCCATTAAAGCAGTGGTGAAGTTTTCCATCCACCCCATGTTATTGGTTAAGGTTCACCTGACATTTTGTACTTCTGTGATTTAATTTTGATATGAAAATGTAACTACATTTAAAATAATCAGTAGGTCACTAGAAGAGAAATACAGCAGCAGCTCCAGCTGCGCTGCCCTCTCCCAGTTCTGGAGTCCGTGCGTCCAGCCTCGCTCGCCGGAGGGTCCTGGCACACATTTTCCCTCCTATCTGCCTTGCTCATTCACACATCCATGCATTCTGCTCTCTGCTGGATCTTTCTAACTTCTCTGCTGAAGTGTTATTTTCTCCAAGAGACTGCTCCTGGCCACATAGCCCACAAGGGTTCTGCACGTTATTCAACTTCACGCTTTATCACAGTTGGTAATTACGTGTTTACTCGTCTGTTCAACCTTGGTCTCCTTCACTCAGCAAGTTGAATTGAAGATAAGGCAAGAGAGGATGGTGTGAGATAGACTCACATTTAGATTCTAAGCATTTCTGGCATCCTTGGACATCTCCCCTTACCTCTACTATGGCTGTATCAGCACCTGCCTCTGAGGATTTTCATCATGCTCAGATTGAGTAGTGTGGCTGAAAAACCAAAAACAAAACATTCAATATGTATGAGGGCTCAGCAACTTGGGTTCAAGTTCTAGATCTGGTACTAATTGGCTTTCAGAAGTTCACTTCATTCTTCTGGACCCGAGTCACCTCTTGTCTGAAATGAACAAAACTTGGTACCCAATTGGCAGGGTGTCCACTGGGCACACAGTGCCAGGCATCCAGGCATGAGGCACATCCCTGCACAGGGGTTGTGTGAAGGTACCGAGGAGGCTTCTGCACTGACATGTGTTCATTTGCTTGGCTTGCAGGAAGGCGTTCAGCCACAGATCCACACAGGTGAGGCCTTTGCTTTCTTCTTATGTGCTGATAAAGCAGAGAAATTTATTTTTAAAAATTAAAATTGTTCTCTCAGGAGCTTTTATTCTGCCTTATCATACCCCAAACTCACTGCCACATCCTCCCACTGGCAGCACTGAACATTCTCGTTATTCCCCTTCTTTCAGATCTCACATATTAGCCAATTACTTTCAATCCTTTCCTTATTCTTCCTATCTATCCCCTTAAATACATCTGCGGGAAAAGAAAGTTGCATTGATTTGACCCTAACTCATGCATTCTTTCAGTCAACCAATCTCTGAGAGTCTGAAGTCTTTCTGATGAGCACTGAGAGGTGTGAAAATATGGAAGGAGCCCGAGCATCTTATTAAAGTATTTTAGGGTAAATAAGATGCATACACATTTCTGGGATGCAAGACAGACAGTGATAAACATGCCGAGCAGATTGTTGATGAAATCCTTCAGAAGTTTAGAGGAAGAAAAGATTGGAAGAATACGGCCATGTAGGGTTACCAATGTTCAGTTCCTCTGTTTCACAGTGTGTTATTGTTTATCCAGCAATAAGCAGAGACTGTCTCCAAACCCCTGGGGCACTCTTCCAGCGCTGCTGCGCTTATGCACAGCTGCTTTCTTTGGCCCCTTGCTCAAGTTGCTTGTTATGCCCAGACACCTGCCTTTCACCTGGGGTGAATTAATATTTCTTTTTTTTCTATTTACTGAGCACCTACTCTGGGTGTGTGTAGTAGCACAGCGAGCCCGTCAGTTAAGGAAGGACCTCACACTTGTCCTTAGGAGCACACGCTTTAGTGCATGCCCAGGGGAGCCCCGCTCGCCCCCAAACTGGGCATGGCTTGTCCCACACTGCTGTGCCTTCAGTCCCTGATTTGCCCGTACATTTGTCTTCTGCTTGTGACCCTCTTCAGTGTCTTATTCAAAATCTCAAACAGCAATGTCTGGAATGTCTGGGATGTGGTCCCAGACACACAGCACGTGTCTCTGTGTTTGCAGGACCCTTCCCAGCCCTGCACCCCCAGAATTCACCTACCTCAACTCACCTGACCCCAGGCAATTACAGAGTACCTACGAAAATGGTGAGGCCTCCCAGATGACCGGGGCTGGAGTGGGGAGAGCAAGGCAGGGAGGGGGCCGTGGAGTGACACCTGCTCTCCAAGCCCTGGCTGGGCTCCAGCCTCCTCTGCCAATGAAGGACCTGCCTGTCTTTGGGGCTGTGACAGGCAATAGGCATGGAGCAAGCTGAAAGGCAGGGATGACGGGCCGTGACTTGATGTCTTCTTTCTTTTCCTTTAGTGGATGCTGTGCATGAGGATGAGATTTATTCCTTGGCGTACGGTATGCACCAGGAACAGGAACCAGCTGCAGGTGAGACGGGGGAGTAAATTTGTCTCTGACTTTTGTCTTTCATGGGCAAGGACACTCAGTAGCCGGGCATGGCACATGGCAGCTGCTTCTGCCCTTACAGCTGTGAGCAGTGCTACGCCTGTGTGGAGCTGCCTTGAGTAGAGCCCAGTGGCATGAGAACTTGGCCTACATTGTGCCTCCCCCTCACTGCTGCACGGCAGCATCAGAAATGGTGGCTTCTGCCGGTCCCTATTACAGTGACCCAGTTGGTGCTGTTGTCTCATCCTGCACATGGTAGCCCAGAAAAGCTGAAAGGGAGAAAGGCCCCTCTAGCACGGGATCCTCCTGGGGTTACCCTTCTACCCCTAGTTGTCAATTTTCCCTCAGATACTAAACGAATCATCTTTGCTATCAACAGAAAAATGAGACAGAAAATGTTAGCAGAAATCAATTCCTGGGAAACCGATGGGAGAGGAAGAAGTCTTTGTTAACACGAGTTTAGTGAAGGATGTTAAATGTACGTAGAATCTCATAGCACTTACCTTTCTCCACAGCAGCACCCCCGACAGCACGTGTGGAGAATAAGGTGAGAGTCCCTCTCATTCTTTCCTTCATGTTCTTTCTCTCCTTTCTCTGGTGACTGGTTCTTAAAATATAGCCATGTAAGAAGAGCAAAAATCCCACAGTCTGCCTCCTCCCGGTTGCCCAAGACAATGGAGGTAAAAATGTTCCCTTATAACCATAAGGTGTCATTGCACAAGGACATTTTGAAGACTTCCGTGTACATTCACTACCAGTGGGCATGTGGAGGCGCTGTAGTCAAAAAATTCTATTTATTTGAAGATCTGTATCCTGAAATACTGTCGAACCAACATCCATCACTTTGTGCTATAAGGTTAACTAAATAAATACACAGCACACTAAATTAGTATTGAATAAAACTAAGCTAATAGTGATTCATGTCATTAAAAATCAGTAATCTATAAACTCTGAATATCTCAAGATATTATGGATGTTACACAAAAATACTTTCTGCAATCGAATTCCAACTGTGTGCATGTGTGCAAAGACTGTAGGTGCTTTAAAAAAAAGGTTAAAAAGGTTAAAAGGTTAAAACTCCAGTGACGTACTAAATTTTGTTTGTGAATATAAAATTCTGACAATCTTGAAAAAAATAGCAGCCCATAGCACTGCCTAAGAAGGGCTCCTGAGAATGGGAGAAGGTCCTGTATGTTGAGACGGGTCTGCAGCTCCTGAGGAGCACTTTTGCAGCCTGCCGAGGAGGTGCAGTGCCTTTGACCTTGCCGGGACATAGGCGTCCAAGAGGCCCTAATCCATGTGCCATGCGGTGCCCCTACAGGACGCATCCAGGCCCACTGGGGAAGAGGACCAGTGGAAGGCACGCTTTACTTGCCTTCCCTGCCCTAACCCCACCATGTGCCTTTGCTTCCAGGACACCTTGGACATCTACGCTAGACTGAGGAAGACACAAGCTATGGATGTGGACTATGAAGACGCTATGTGAAGTTATGGGAGATTCGGGGCTTTGAAAACCATCTTGGACCCCCAGCCTCACACTCCATGTGTTCTTCAGAGGATCTGGAAATCAGTTTCCAGTCACTTCTCCCAGGTGCTATTCTCCACAAGCCTATTCCTATATCTGCTGAGAAGTGATGTTGACACAGTCCTGAAGAAACCAGCCAGAAGAACCAGCATGGGCACAGGAGTGGCAAAGATTGTGTAATCTGAACCTGATTCCTGCTGGCTCTTTTGGGAACAGGCCAAATATTGTTCTTACTTCTTTTCACAAGAGGAAACAGGATGGGATAGAAGAAAATCGAGGTGCTGGGGTGGAGGGACAATGAACCTTAGAGCACATGAACTCAAGGTGACTACTTTGCAGGACTGCTCCACAGAGGGAGTTGTGTCCATTATTTTGTATGGGTGTTTTCTCTGCCCAGATGGCACAAAACCCCAGTCCTCCCACTGGAACGGATCATCCTCTTTCCACCTAAAATATGAGATCTGGTTTATTTTGAGTCACTGCTATGAAATGAAAGTTCAAACAAAGTTGCATAAAAACTTACTGTGATTACACCCAATTTTAGTGACATGTTTTGTGTACTAGGCCAATCTAACAGCCACCCTATTTATTAGTCTTTATAAGTTTCACCACATCCAAAGTTCTATATTTGTTGCAGCCTATAGAGGTTTTATGAATACCTTGTTTCTTCTTTTATTTACAAACTTTTGTATGCTTTGAAATCTGGATTTTAATTTTAAAACAATCACATATTCACTCATAAATTAAAACAACTTACAGGTATATAAAGAGTTAAAGTCTTTCTTATAAGCTAACTATTGTGAAAAACTTAAGCATGTAATTCTCTAGCTGTTTTTCTGTTTCTGTATAAACACTTATACATACATATAAGTATGTAGATATTTAGAAGTATGTCCATTTAATAAGCTATCATGAAATGTTTTCAAAGCTGTTATAAATCTATTATACTGTTTTAAAATGCTGCATAGTATTCTGTTGTATAGATAAATCATTTTTCCTTTTTAAATTGTGGAAAATATATAGCACATAAAATTGATCATTTTAAACATTTTAAGTGTATAATTGAGTGGTATTAAGTAGTATCATACTATTATTTTAATCCCTTTCACCACTGACGGACATTAAGGTAGTTTCCAAAAATTGTATATTATACAAACAAGGCTCAAACAAATGTCTTTGTACAAGACACTTGTGTTTTTCTTATAGCCTCAGGGAGGTTCTGTCTGCCCAGCAGTAAGGGTGGGGACTCAGTAGAGGAAGTCTTGGGGTCCAGGCACAACTCTGGATTCTCCAGGGTTGAGTCACAGGCCTGATAGGCTACAAGGGAAGAGCCTCAGACTTAGGCACAGTGAGAACTTCAGAGCTCGCCTCTGGGGAATTTCAGCCCACCATATGGGGGGCTGTTCTGCCAACATGGGGACGGCTGATGCTCAGAACCACAGGCAGAGGTTTCTCTGATCAGCCCAGGGTTCATGCAGGCAGCCCAGAGCTGCAGCTAGGATCTACTGAGGCAGTCTCGTGAGGCTTTCCAAGTGATGCCTGTGACATCTGAGGCTCCTCTGTTCAGCTTCCATGCTGGGGAGGAGGTGTGCTCAGCTCCCAGTCACAGGACTCAACACAGGGGAGCGTTGTTCCTTCCCTGGCCTGGTCTGCAGTGATGCTGAGGTCACTGCTGGAAGCTGGGCCCTGCACACCACAGCCTCAGGACGTCATCAGCTACAGAAGCCTGGGCTTGGCAGGCACCAGATCTCTGCAGCACCTGCTCTCTGGTGAAACGTCTTTGCACAGATGGAACAGCTTCCTGATCAGCCCAGAGGTCCACCGTGGCAGAGGGAGACCTCTCACAGAAAGAGCTGCCCGTAACTTTTGTTTCTCTCCTAATAGATAGTGTCCCTTTGGGTTGCGTCTGTCCTGCTGTCTTCACCACTTCTCAGCAGTGTGAATCCTACTACATCCTCCAGCTTTCTCTCTGAGGCGGTGGGAGGTACTTGAAATAAGAACGGTTCGAGACCAGCCTGAGCCAGAGCAAGACCTCATCTCTAAAAATAGCCGGGCGTTGTGGCCGGCGGCTGTAGTCCCAGCTACTCAAAAGGCTGAGGCAAAAGAATTGCTTGAGCCCAGAAGTTTGAGGTTGCTGTGAGTTGTGACACCACCGCACACTACCCAGGGTGACATAGTGAGACTCTGTCTCAAAAAAAAAAAAAAAAAAAAAATAATCAGCCTTCCGCCCTGAGTGGTAGATGCTGTCAGTGATAGATCAATGCCTGGGAAGAGCCAACTGCCCAGATTTTCTTCTGTGCCCCTGGGGAGCTGTATCTGGTCACTCAGATGGAACATTTGAAGGCCCAGTGGCCCTTCAGCTCCCAGGGGATTGTTTGATCCCGGCAGCAGGGGTGGGTGGAGACGTAAGCTGCGCGCGGACCGGCAGAGCTGCCGTAGGCTGGCAGAGGTCGCTTTCCCGCCTTTACGGGAGCCGCTGGAAGGAGGGTCAAGGTTGCGCTGCAGACTCTTGAGGAACGCTCGTGGGGCGGGACCTGCGAGCTTGGTTGCTATGGCACCCTGGGTAGGGACGTCCCCGCGGGAGGACCCGCCCTGTTCCAACTGTGTGGCTGCCCTGCAGGCGCTCTTTCAGATCGCAGTGTCTTGGACCCCCACAGTATTCTCTGGTCAGTCCTGTCCACGTGGCTCCATAGCCACCAAATCCAGTTCCCACACCTCCTCCTGGATCCCCCAGCAACCCGCCGGAGTCTGGGAGCCGTGGGATCCGGCCTGCGTGCAGGACCCGCTGGCTCGCATCTCCCTAACACGCCTGCAGGCAGGGAGCTCCCAGGTGGGGCACCCTGGGTCCCTGCAGGTCCCCAGGGGAAAGGCGAGGAAACTTCAGCCTTTCTGAAGTTTCGGTCGCCGGTAGGAGGCGCCGGCGGGGAAGAGCCGAGCTGCAGCGGCATCCTCTCAAGCTGCCCTCCCGGCTGCAAGAGAGGGGAGGGTCGGATGGGGGTTGTTCTGAATGCGAGACAGCGGCTCTCAGTTCTGGGTCGCTCTCCTTGCAGGGGAACCCCGGGTGAAGGGTCCAAGCTCTGCGCTTATCCAAGTGAGCTTACAACGAAGCTCTCAACGAAGTTCTCACATCCGTGCTGGTAGCCCGCTGGTCACCAAGGAGTGTGGGAGGGAGAGAGGGACCCTTCTGACTCCTTCAGTGGGCTCCAGGCCTCTGGGTTTGATCCTCGCTGATACCTTTTTCCTTTATCTTCTTCCTTCCCCCGCTGCAGTTTTCCTCCGTGAGGTCCGGTCCCTTTAGGCTCCTGCTATCTATGATCTACACCTGCGCTGTCTCCTCGCCCCTCCCTTGTCGGAAACCCACCCTCCCTCCAGCCAGGCCAGCCAGGAGCCACGTGTCTAGTCAGCCCCCGCCTCTATTTCCCGTGCATACTTGGAATATTCTTCTACTTAATAGCCTTGCTTTCTTATTTCCTGCTATGCTTTGCATTTCCTGCTTTGAGTTTCAGCCTCTGGCCCATGGAAAATTTTACTATTATTTTTTAGGACAAACACGGCTTTTTATATTTTATATTGTCATTGCGGCTGATATGGATTTGGAGCTCAGGGAGCGTCTCAAAGATGAAACTGGAGCCCCAGTGACCAGAGGCCTGGACTTCTTTGTATGTGTATTACAGTAATATAGGCGGTCCCCGGGTTACAGATGAGATAGGTTTCTGTAGGCTTGTTCCTAAGTTGAATCTATGTGTAAGTTGGAACAGGTACATTTACTTATTACCGGTAATAGCCTCCATTTAAGTACAAGTTGTACGGCAGGTGTTTGTAACTCGGGGACTTGCTGTATTAACCCTCGTTTGTAAGTGTGAGTTGCACCTAGTCAGATGTTCCTAACTCGGGGACTACCTGTTACATTAAACCTTAGCCATGGCTTCTTACATTCCACGCCTTTCTTTTTTCTTTATGAACTCAAACTTTCTAGTCCTTTTTGAAAGGGCTTATGAGTTAATTTGTCCAAAAAGTAAAATTTAAGATTGTTAGCTTTGTTTCATGCTCATCAGTTTAAATATTTTATACATGGTCTTCTAACTTCTATTGCTGTCTTTGAGAAATCTCTTAATTTGATTGTTGTTCCTTTGTAGTTAATCTATTTTTTCTCTCCAGTTGCTTTTAAGACTATCTTTGGTAACATGCATTTTCACCATGATTCATCTAAGTGAATTATTTTCATTATTTTGTTTAAGATTAATTCTTATGTTTTAAAACTATTTCAAAATATTAGGGTGGTATAAATGTTTTTATTTTACATGGATACCCTGTATAATTCTTTTTTTTTTTTTTTTTTTTTGAGACAGAGTCTCACTTTGTCAGCCTCGGAAGAGTGTCAAGGTATCACAGCCCACAGCAACCTCCAGCTCCTGGACTTAGGCACCTCTCAAGTAGCTGGGACTACAGGTGCCCACCACAACACCCAGCTATTTTTGTTCTTGTTATTGCAGTTTGGCTGGGGCCAGGTTTGAACCCACCACCCTCAGTACATGGGGCTTGGTGCCCTACTCACTAAACCACAGGTGCTGCCCCTTGTATAATTCTTAAGTTGGGGCTTTTCACGTGTCTGTCACCAGAATAGTGTTCATCATACCCAGTAGGTAAGTTTTTACCTCTCCCCTCCCCTTCCTTGGTTTCTAACATCTTTTACATCTCCTTGTGCCTGTATATGTGTCCACAATTTAGCTCACAATTATTAGAGGGCGCTGTGGTGTTTGTTTTTCTATTCCTGAGATACTTCACTTAGAAGAATGATCTCCAGTTCCATCCAAGTTCCTGCAAATGACATTATTTCATTTCTTTTTTTATGGCTGAGCGTGTGTGTATATATATATATATATACCACATTTTCTTTATCCACTCATGAATTGATGGGCACGTAGGTTGATTCTACATCTTTGCAATTTTCGATTGTGATG